TATAAAATGTGTTTTCTTCCATCTCAAAAAGGCTGTGCTTCTGAGAAACCAAAATAATCAAAAGAGGAATGACCACTGTCAGTTTTCCAGAGCAGCAGAGACAGAGCCAGGGGCAGTCCAGTGGTCAGGTGTCGGCACAGAAGGGGCTTCCAGTGTCTCTTCTGCTGGTAGCAGTGTTCTTAGTAGGTTTGGCAGTGTTTAGGCCATTTTATATCCATGTCCCAAGTCTAGTTCTCCAGGTCTTTGGGCAATTTCAAAATATTTATTTTCTGGTGGAATCAGAAAAAATCTATTTCCATTCTTTGAAAGACAGAGCTCTTCCTGAAATAGTTTATATGGTCAGCCATCTATAGAATTTTAGAATAAAATTAGACCAGGGATGCTTTGGGCACTTAATGTATGAAGCTGTGGCAAATCCTAGGGTTTTCAGTTAATAACATTAATATTTCTGCTACTACTAAAAATAGCTTTATTGAGTGCTTACTACATACTGCGATATATAGTAAGCCTTTATAAACATATGCTATAATTCACAGATGATATAGGAAATTGAATCTAGTCAAAATGATGGCTTATACATTAGTGCATGATGAAGATGATGAAGAAGATAGTATGATGGTCAGCATCAAGGCCACTGTGATGTTTGGAGTGAAGAGAATCCTAACTAGAGTCAAAGCCCATTATTGATTTTGAAGTATTCCTACTCCATTTGAGTCTATTGGCAATAATCCCAACCACATAGGTAAATCCCCTTTACTTTTATTAAGAGAGACAGGATTTAAAGTATCCATTGATTATAGGCATAATATCTAAGTCTCTTAGAATTAATCTCAATTTAGTGGCATGTCCCTTGGCAAAACCTCCAGTTTTTCAGTTCTATTGATTTTGGTTGTGAGTTATTAATATCTACCAGCTGATTCATGTTGAGACCAAAGGAACCATTTTGAACAAGGACAGGAGCTTGGATTCAGCACACTAGGATGATCTTTGAGGATGTACCCACTGCGACGAAAGGCATTCAGGCTCACTTTTGAGTAAAAACAGTAGCTGTCAGACTAGCCCAATTTCAATGATAATTTTTGTGCTATTGAAAAGAAAGAATAGCTTACTTTTTAAAAGATTAATAAAAATGAAGAAATAATAATGTACAATTAGAAGTAATGAAAATGTATCAAATAAAATAATTGGTAACACAAACACTAACAACATTAAAGGTCAGAAGACTTAAAAAAAAATAAAATATTCCCAGTCATAAAGTGGGGAGGTATGAACTGGGAGCTTGTTCATTGCACATTCCGGAGAGAAGGTTGAGATTAGCAAAGCGCAGGTTCTACCTTCCCCACCCAGCTCTATGCAAACCATTACCCCTTTCCCTTTCCAAAGTTTCCATCTTTTCCCCAGATGTGATGGAGGCCATGTGCAGTTAGCATTACCCCATCCAATTTGCCTCTACAAGAGTCACGTTTAAGAATTCAACATGGACTGTGCTCGTTTGTTTTGGTTGCTGCTGTGCTTACAAGGGTTACAAGGCATAGAAAGCTCTAAATTTCAGTGAACAAATGTTCATCAAATGAACACCTAACAAAACAATTTCTTTTTAAGAACCTAGGCTCTGGCCATCAAAAATGGCTAAATAACAGATATTATTACCTTTTTGCAACATGTAGAAATCTGATTAAACCGTTCTGCTATTTTAGGGATGGTATACTGTTGTACATGAAACATAACCCAGCACATATTTCAGAGGCTGGAAAATCACATTTTACAATTTTTGTAGTGTTGAATGTACTTGCTTCTCTTCCATCTCTTAGGAGATCCGTTCTTCTCTTTCTCGCCTCCTCTTCCTCTTCCTAGTCCTTTTTCCTCTTTCTCCTCACTTTCTCCTCCTCTTTCTCTTTCTTATTCATCACCTTCCACCAAACACGGGTGGATAAGCAGAGCCTAATCCGAAGAAACTGTTGAACAATAAAACAGATAATGAATTCATCGTGGCTCTGTAAGGTCTCAAGTTTTAATGTTAAAGAGAACTCAGGAAAAAGTTCTGATTCAAATTTTATTTCCTAAGACTATATGTAGAGACAGACAGAGAGCAGGAGAGGCACATCTTTGAAGATAAGCAAAAGGAATAACTACCAGTTCCACATCTGTGCCCAATACCCAGTCTTTCCATCCACCTCTTTCATAAGATATATGTATAAAATTGGTCAAGTTCTTTTTCAGCTAAAACAAGTTTAGCTTAAAAAACCGGAATAACTTTCAAGCAAATAATATATCTCTCTTTTGAAGAGATAATACATTCACAAACATAAATAAAATTGATTTAAAATTCGAAACAATAAAATTTAAAATATTTCTCAAGTTGTTTTACTTAAGATTAAGGCACTTAGTGTGATTTCAACAATATTCTAAAAACATAACCTTTTTCTGGGTATTGATTTTTATATAACTATGTAAGCTTGCAGGTAGTAAAATTTCTTGTAAAATTTTCCTATATACATATTTTGTTTTCTAATTGAAAGAGGCTTACCCCAATATAGTGACAGTTTTTTTTTTATTATAATTACAGATGGTGGCACCTGATAAATGATGCACTGATTAACAATAAAGCAATTTGAATAAGCAGAACAAAGTTAATGATTGTTACCCAAAGTGAATTTGGGTTTCTAAAGAGTCTTCCAAATTTGTTTTTTAAATTTGTTATTAAAATCAAATGTCTGGCTGGGCATGGTGGCTGATGCCTATAATCCCATCACTTTGGGAGGCCAAAGCGTGTGGATCACCTGAGGTCAGGAGTTGGAGACCAGCCTAGCCAACATTGCAAAACCCTGTCTCTAATAAAAATACAAACACACACAAAAAAAATTAGCTGGGCTTGGTGTCGGGCACCTGTAATCCCAGCTACTTGGGAGGCTGAGGCAGGAGAATGGTTTGAATCCGGGGGGCAGAGTTTGCAGTGAGCTGAGACCATACCGTTGTACTCCAGTCTGGGCAATGAGAATGAAACTCTGTCTCAAAAATAATAATAATAGTAAAAAAAAAATCTTCTCCCCTTATAAATTCTGAGTAATGATTTGCATGAAGAAATGTGTATGATCCTGTTTGGAGCCCTATTTTCATGGTTGGGGTGGCGAATTGCAATATAATTAAGCAGCCTGCTTAATGATCAATTGGATTATTTTGTTTGCAGCCAATTTAAGTAATTAGAGAGTTGCAATGATCACTCCAATTAAAGTGATTACGGCTCAACCTTGCCTTTTTTACCTGTGTTATTTAGAAGACAGAAAAACGTTATTCAGCAGAGGCCTCCCCAGACGGGTTAGGCTCAATGCTCTTCTGCATGGTCTTCTGTGCTGGGTACTTGTCATGCTCACCGCAGAGGCTGGAGGTGCTTGGCATTCTCCTGCCTGGACATATTAGGTTCCTCCTCTACTTAGGCATTCTCCACACTCCTCCTTTCCTCCTCCTGCATGCTGGAGTTCTACTCCGCAAGCTAGCCTGTTTGTGTATTCTGCAGAGACCAAAACCTTTCCTCCATAGGAGGAAGGACAATATTTATCATGCTTTAGTGGTGGCTAGAGAGGTCGAGAAACTTGCACAGACTCAACTTAAAACTGTGAGTAGCGAATGTGAATGGTGAGCCACCATCAGAAACAATTAAAAAGGGAGAGTGCGTTGCAAACTCTGACATTAAAACCTGTGTAAATAATATGCCCAATCTGATGGGAACCAGGGCCCGCTTTGGCAACTCCCTGCCAGTTCCTGGGTCTGGGCTTCAATTCTCTCTCAGCCTCTCTGGGCCTTTGATAAGAGGAAGGCTCCCTAGGTTCCCAGGCTGCATAGGTTCTTGATAAGTGGTTGTGCTGCCTGGCCTGGGTCTTTCCTTGGCCAGCGGCACCCTGTGTTTTGTGCACAATTGACTGACTCTGTATTAATCTTCTTCGCCCTCTTTTTGAAGTAGCAGAGCCTCTGACTCGGGTCTCACAAACTCTCCCACTAAAGGAGTATTTTCCTTCTAACTTTTCCCCCTGGACCTCTGGCCTTTGACCATGGAGCAGGATATTAAGAAAGACATAGTTTTGTTCTTTCAATGTCTCTAGAGAAATCTGAAAACAGATCTTCCTGCAAAGAGAAGCCTGGGGCTCCACCAGCCGCCTCTTGTGGCACAGCCTGGAGTTTGGCTCCAGGCTCAGCTCAGAGTGTCTGCTATACATCGGGAACCCTACATAGTGTCACGCAGTTGCTGTCACGTCGTCACACAGCTGCATGAGCTCACAGGATTATCTGCATTTGCAGATGCAGAAACTGAGGCCCTGAGGGCTGGATAGCTCCATGGCAGGTAGCCATGAAGTAAAGGGGGACAATGAGAATCTGACTGATGACACTCTGGCTGTGGCAGTTTGTAGATGTGCTCTTTTAAAGAAGACGTGGACCTTGCCAGGTACTTACTTAACTAAAGTAGAATAGGTGATAGGATTAGTGCTAACATGAACCCTGAGAGGCAACGCAGGGATGGGGGAAGTGTGATTGCTCCTCTGGGCTCTGAGACACTCATGTCTTTGATTCTTAAAGTTGAAGCAGAGACAAGAGCCTCTGTTTGGCATAACTTTAGTGACTTAACTATTTGCTGTAATATATCCATAAGGTATGTATAAATTAATGAGGGTTAACTTATTTTATATTAATTTAAATGCCAAATGAATATTTTGACTGGTGAGATTTTATTGATATGACAGTTCAACTAGGACCTTAAGAGAAGCAAATTACATTAATTTGTAAACACGCTTTAGATCATAATAATCTATAGTAAATCATAATGCAAACTTCAGAAGCAATTGATAGTTTTTTTTCCCAAAGATAAAATTACATATGTAAATACTCTCTTATCATTCCTGGAACTTACTATATACTGTATAAACATTAGGCTAAAAAATATAGCTATATTCTTAGCACAGCACGATTCTAATGAGTCTAATACCAAAAGTGGCAGGAGGCATGTAGACAGTCTCCTAAACTCTGTTATGGGATGCAGTTGTTGGTTGCTCAAGACATAACAGAAATGTAATTTTTTTGAAATGTGAAGAACATTCATTACACGGGGATTTCTTACATGTCATAAACGAGCTTCATGGAAAGATTAAGTAATGCATTTCTAAATTTTATAAGCCAGGAAACACCACTTATCTTTAAACTTTAGATGGAATTTCCTCTGCAAACCTTTTGGCTTTTTTACCTTGCCTGTGCTGCTTTTCATTACAATATATTGATGATATTGAAAATTCATCTATTTGTGTTTATGAGAATTGAGCCTGTAAATCTTATACACAGAAGGAGGGCCTTTAATTTTGAATTTTAGCTTTATTTAATTTTAACCCACTGATTTAGTAGAGAATAACTCATAGTATTTAAGAGAAAATTAATCTAATGGGTTTATGCGTTTAGGCTCTATTTAATATTATTGTGCACCATATTTTAATATTATATAAACAAAAGTAAATCACCGGTAAAATGTACATCTTTTAATTTTTGTAATTCTGTCAACCATATTCTATGTTCCATAAACTTAAAGAACAATAAAAAATGTTCACCACTTTATATGGAATATAATTATCCATGTTTTTTCCTTTTATAAGAGAAGCAGAATCATCCTGAATATACTTGTCATAGTGCCTTGAATGTCCAACAGTTAACTGGGGCTGACCCTTAGAAAGACTGAAGTGGGGACTGTAAGTGGTGTTCCTGGATCCTCAGTGTAAAGTTTATTCTCTGTAGGTTTATTGCCGAGTTAAAAACGAGGAAACTGAGGCCAGCACAAGAAAATTAGATGCCAATTTATTCAGCTCCTGGGTGAGGTTCTGTGGTCCTGGGGACAGGGGCCAGGGAAGTCGCCCTCAACTCCTCTCAGGAGTGGGTTTTTTTTTTTTTTTTTTTTTTTTTTTTTTTTTTTGTTACCCAGGCTGGAGTGCAATGGCACGATCTCGGCTCACCGCAACCTCCGCCTCCTGAGTTCAGGCAATTCTCCTGCCTCAGCCTCCTGAGTAGCTGGGACTACAGACATGCGCCACCATGCCCAGCTAATTTTTTTGTAGTTTTAGTAGAGACGGGGTTTCACTATGTTGACCAGGATGGTCTCGATCTCTTGACCTTGTGATCCACCCGCCTCGGCCTCCCAAAGTGCTGGGATTACAGGCTTGAGCCACAGCGCCCGGCCCAGGAGTGGGGTTTTATAGGGAGTGAAGGCGTGTGGATTTAGAGAAACAGGATGGGGATGGGGTGAGCTGCTATTGGTAGGTAGGTAGGATTTCCGGTGAGCAGGCTAAGTGCTGAGTGCAGAGGGGATTTCCAAGGGTGGGGTTAGGTACGGAGTGCAGAGGGGATTTCCAAGGCGGGCTAGGTGCCAAGTGCGGAGGGGATTTCCAAGGCGGAGCTAGATGATGGGCATATTCTGATAATATAATTTTCAAGCGGGGAGGGAGATGGGAGTGTCTGAACTCCCGGCGAGGCAACCAGCCCTACACTCAGTCTATGAGGATGTAATACACATAAAATGAGTCCAGTGTGTGTTTGTAGACGGATGGACTCATGATTCCCTTATCTTTTGGAGTAACATTTAAAATCACCAAATTCTCCCCTGTAAAGAAGGAAATTCTATTAAATGAGCTGTGCGTTTTTCTAATATTATCTAATTTGCAAATGCGTGATTTGCCCAATCCATTAATCTAGTCAAATAATGATATCATCATATATTAAAACCAAATAATAAGCATGAAGTGTATTTATTGACACATATTGCATTTCTATTTATTTGTTCCTTCAGGAAATGTTTGTTGACTGTATCAGGCAATGGCCTGGGTGCTGAGAATATATTAAAAAGAATAGATAGGGTCTCATGTTCCAAAAATTTACATTCTGCATAGAATGTAATAAGGAAATATGTCTATCTCAGAATTTAATTTCTAACTCATATAATGCAGCTTGCGGATATTTGTCTATTTATCTTAGATTTCTCATACCCTTTTTTTAGTACATCTCTCTGGAGGGGATGTATTCTTGTCAGGAAAGTTTTATGTTTACTTGAATAAGTTTCACTTCTTAACATTTAAAAAATGTTTATTAACCTTTAATTGCATAATTTGAGGGTATTTTCTTACCTTATAATTAAAACAAAAGCATAAGTAGATTCTGATCGTTTTATTAACTCCTACTTGCTCTGAGGAAAGAAAATTTAATGACTAAAGAGTAACTCTAAGGGATACAGAGTAGACCTGATTAGTATAATAAATAACCTTGTTAGAAACCTATTCATACCTTAACAGAAAGAAGAACAGAAAAAATACTGCTAGGATTATGGAGAGAGGTTTAAGAAAAAACGTCACTAAGAGATTACTGTTAATTTCAACATCAAGGACAAGAGTTACATATTTCATGATTTTGAAAATCCAGAAATTATAGGAATCAGTCCTCAGATCATGGTTATAAAGATGACAGCTTCCCAACCCCCAATCCTGAGAGTTGAGAAAATAATAGTAGAGGCACAAGAAATTATGACTTTATTCAATGTAATATTCTATTCAATAAAATAAAATGAAGTTTTACATATTTACATAATTACCTTCACATTTATGAATTGCATTAAAAAATTGCAGGTCTTGTATCTCATTTATTTCCTAGCTCAATGTTAGGCAGGGGTGAAGAGCTAGGTTTTGTTGTTATTTTTTCAAAATTGCTGTGAATTCACATAATGATGATAAAGAATATGATTATTGATCTCAGAAAGCACACACAGCTGGGATGCTAAAACAATAAATGGGATTTGCATAAATATAAGACACAAATAAATGGAATGGTATGTAAATACAGGATTCAAATAACTAAGAAATACAGTGTTACTTAAATATGAGATTCAGGTAATTGAGATCTCTTTATTCTTAGAGGAGACATCACAGGAAGTGCATAAACTTGATTCTGCACACATAATTCAGATGCAATGCTACTAGAGTTAGAATACAATAAGGTTTTGATAATAATGGAAGCAGAAAGGTTGGAGTGGTAAAGAGCACAGCAGTGATTCCAGGAAAAAAATCAAGTTACGGGTACCATATACAGGGCCAGTAAGATGCAGGGCAGGGCATATTTATTACTATGAACAGGTATATGTGCTACTATCCACAGGTATATGTACTCTATACAGGAAGAAGAACACGTAAGGATAAAAAGACTAAAGGGAAAACAGCACAAACAACAATAGTTTTTCTTTTTTGAATGTCAGTAGGTAGTGAAATAACCTCAAAGTTATAGGAAACCTTCAATTCCAGATCAGAAAGTTTGAATTCATCACAGGTCACTTGAGCTAGGACCTAAACTAATATTATGGATTATTGGTTTAGTTATCCTCTCTGCTATAGTAAGACCCACCCTTCTTTTCTTTTTCATCACAACATTCTTAAAGAAATGTCTAAGGAGGACTATTCACTTATTTACAAAATTGTCTGAAACAAGAATAACTGAAAATTTAGAACCCCCTTTCAATATTCAAGAAGTGCTACTATGAAGGGCCTGAACTAAGGTAGTGACTTTTGAATAATGAGGAAAAGATCAGTGAGAGAGATGCTGGTAGATGAGTTTCTGACATTCTGGTGACCTAGACTGTAATTATGAAAGGTTAGGATCAGACATTATCCCAGTGTGTTGAAGTGTTAACAACAAAACGATAAATTATTCTATGTATTAGAAATGATTAGAAATCTCAAAGTGTCACTCAGTGGTGCATTTATATTTATTTTAACAATAAGGATGGATGAATTCATGAAGAAAGAATCAATTGGAGCCCTAATAGCACCGAGAAGTCCTTATCCAAAGGTATATATTCAGAGACAGTGAGGCTTGGGAGAGCTGTGAGCTCTGGAGCTGAATTTAAATGAACTGGAAATTAACCAGGAGGACACAGAAGAAAGAATGCTGAAGACAAAGAGAGGAATCATTATCCAAGAATGTTGTAAAAATGTCTGTACGGTAAAGTCCCTCAAAATATCCGGAATGGCTTTGAGGATAGGATGGTTTCAGTTTCCCCCCACCCAAGTGGTCATTTTACTTAAATGATTATGAATCATCATTTGTCTAATGAAAAAAACATCAGACAAAAGCAAAAAGATAGTTTCTAAAAATGTAATCATCTGTGTTTCTTAAAAAATGCCAAGGTCATGAATAGAAAAAAAAAAAAACAAAAAACAAACACAAACAGAAAAAAAACCACAACTCAGTAAGTGTTCCAGACCAAATGAGCAGAAGAGTTGACAGGAAATACAATTTCTATTGGAAGGTATATTAGATCCTGTATCAGAAAAAAAAAAATGAAAAGTTGCATAAAGAATGTTAGCAGGATGGTGGGGAAAATTCCATGATCTCCATGGGTTAGATAGTAAAATTTAACAATATTAATTTCCTGATTTTGATAATTGCATGATTATGAGAGGATGGTTCTTGTTTAAATAAACATTTAAGTATGAAGTGGTTAAGAGGCATTATATCTGGAACTTGCTCTCAATTAGTTTACAAAAAATATGCATATATAACCATATATACACACTGAATAATAAAGTAAATGCACTAACATGTTAACAGCTGCAGAATCTGGTGGAAAGATGTATTACATTTCTTTGTACTATTTCTGCATTTTTTCTGGAAGACATATCTTTTCAAAGTTAAGAAAAGACTGACATTTGTATGTAGTTATGTTCTTCAGAGCTGAATTTGATACCTTTGTATTGATTAATCTCACCTGATATGACATCTAATTTTTCGTTTATGTTCTTAGAGATTCCTAAGGGCAACCTCAAAAGTTTCAGGATTATTCAATATACAACTATGAATAGAGCAAGTAACTATATTTTTTTTTCCACTTAAAAGTATATATGTCCTAGGCCAGGCGCGGTGGCTCAAGCCTGTAATCCCAGCACTTTGGGAGGCCGAGGCGGGTGGATCACGAGGTCAAGAGATCGAGACCATCCTGGTCAACATGGTGAAACCCCGTCTCTACTAAAAATACAAAAAATTAGCTGGGCTTGGTGGCACGTGCCTGTAATCCCAGCTACTAAGGAGGCTGAGGCAGGAGAATTGCCTGAACCCAGGAGGCGGAGGTTGCGGTGAGCCGAGATTGCGCCATTGCACTCCAGCCTGGGTAACAAGAGTGAAACTCCGTCTCGATTAAAAAAAAAAAAAAAAAAAAAAAAAGTATATATAGTATATATGTCCTTAATATTCTTTTTACCATAATCACGGTCCGCCCCACCTTCACCCTTAATTGATAAATGTAAGTTATGATGTCACAGATTCGTGCAACAGGGATATTAATTTCCAATGATTTTGCTCAAAGGTAATTAAGCTTCTTTGCATTTAGCAATTCCACATCAATGTTATTGACGAAGGAGCATGTTTGTAAGATAACCTTTATTATCTGAGGTCATAGAATGTACAAATGATCTTAGATCCTGGATTTTGGAGGTAAAAGCTCATATTAAGCATCTATAGTCAATAAGTTAATAAGTGACTTGGCTGATGTGCAATTACAGTATTTCTTGACCAAGGTGCACTTCTTCACATTACATTTCTCACCTGGAAGCTGCACAGTACTCATACTTGGTTTCTCAAAATATGATCAAAGGCTATCTTTATAATCAATAAAATTATTTAGCTTATATGTATAATACAAACACATACACACACATAAAGCTAGATATTCCTCTGCAA